TCTATGATTCTATGATTCTATGACATTAATTTATTACTGTGAATTAATTTATCACACACTGAAGAAAAATAAATTAAAACCCAAATATATTCTGTAGGTATAATACAACCTTACATGCCTCAGTTGGACATGCACAAACAGCACTGCAGGTCATACATAACAGTACAGAATACTAATATTCAGGAAACTGCTAAAGAAATGCAGCCACTTTGCAGCTTTATGCAAGCAAAACCCCCCAAACTAAAACCAAAATCAAACCATTTCCAAGTTCAAAGACTTATTGGTCTGTCTTCAGAGACTGGGGTTAACTAATAAATGTTATCTGTGGTAGTGATTTCTGTCACACTGGCAGAATGACACATCTTTTTAGTAAAAGCAGTAGATTTTGATCTATGTTCCAGGGGTGAAAAATTTCCCTACCCTACTCTTACTCCTCTGGTATAGTTAAATAAAAATCTGTTTGTGCTTTCTGCTAAGACACAAAATCTCTCACCCAGCCCCCTCCAATTACCATGACACTAAAAGAAAATCCTTCCTGGTAACAGGCTGTACAACGTACAAAAATATAAAAAAATCTGTATGGGAAGCTTGTAAAATGAATTTCATTCATAAAAACACTACGCTTCTGGCTAGATGACTGGTTTGAAATCCCAGTGAGAGAAATTATCATTTTTAGTTTTGGGATGCCCTGATGCTACTTACACTTTTAAAAATCTAATAGGTTCACATGTTGAAATGTATTGAAATTTTAAAGCTTGTGAATGAAATTAGCAACGTGCTGTGCCTGTCAATATGAACTATTAAAGTCCCCAGAGTGTATGAGAGTAGGAGAGTTTAAAAATTAATTCAGATCGTGCACCTGTTTGCAGGAATCCGTCTGTTGAATTAGCATTGCATTTAATAAGTTTCTGTGACGCAACTAATGTCCTTTTGTCTAGGCTCCCTCAGTACAGTGTTAATTCTCACCCATCTGAAATTCAGGCAATATTACAAATTCCAAACTGATAATTAAAGTCTATAAATGTGAACCAATCTGAATGAGACTAGCTTTACCCATTGAAGTTCTTTTTAAACTTTTCAAATTTCTTTAGTATCTCATCATCAATTCCTTTCAAGATAAGTCCAAATGATTACATGATCTCAAAATGATCTGTTAATTGCCTACATATCTAAATAACACTCAGAAAAATTAAATTTTGAACAAAAATTAATAGATAACAAGGTATATTACCCACTGAAAAGAAATAAAAATAGATCATCAGTTGTACAGAAAAAGCATATTAAAATTAAATTCTAAAAATTTCACTATTTTTAACCAGTTTTCCTGCACATCGAGCTAAACCTATTGTTTCCAAACAACTCAATGAGCTACAGCAAAAGCCATCAGGAAGTACTTCCTAATCGACTTCCACACATCTATTCACAGACCTTCAGTTGAGAACTACTGATCTTTAGTATTTACAGAGCATTCATCATTTTAGATGTTGTGTGAAAATTATAAACGGTGAGTGGAATTTGACTGTGCTGCAAGAAGAGATGATGTTCACATGACTGAACAGAAAACTCCTCCCTTTTCCCATGTCAGCTGCAGACTCCATAGCTCCCAGAGATCTCCTTATTTAAATGGATCAGAAGCCTTTTGGACAACATTTAGGAAAAAAAAAAAATTTTTAGGGTTTTTTGTAGGACCTTATTCATTGGCACAGTATGTAGAAAGATAACTTTCAGGCTCTATGTCAGGAAATAGAAGGAATTATTTTCTTGAATTGGAGCAAAGGAGAGCAAGAAATCACTTGGATACCTGAGTTAACCCCAAGCTGTTGTAGGCAATCTTGCCATACAAATCTATTTATATATTTTTTCCAGGTATACCTTAAAATTATAACTCTTGCTAATACAAACTTTAGAAATGTCTGACTGTTCTGTAACTGTTGTGGAACTGTTTTGTTTGTTTGTTTTTTAATTACATCCTTCATTCTTATCTCCCAATCAATTAACAACAGCAGTACACGTTCTAACCTTTTGGGGGGTAGTAGGAAAGACCAGAAGTCTAGCATTCTCTAAACAGAAATGGAATTTTCCAATTTCAGGCTAGTCCAAATCTAGATTCACTGGGATTCTGGTTATCAGCTGGACCTTAACACAAAACTTTAGAGTTCTAGAAAATCTGAAGCCATAGTAATCTATAACATGTGAAAGAAACATGGACTATACATGAATTCTCAGATACCGACACCAGCAGAGAAAGAGACGACATAAATACCCAGACTCATTGGCTAGATTTTTTGCTTGTTTTCTGGTTCCTATACCAGGCAAAAAAAATTGATCCTGTTCTGGAGAGATAATCATGCTTGTATAGAGTCTGCAAATCTAAAATGCAAGATTTTATTATTCTAATTAATATTTTATTTTTTTAAAGGACTTGACATTTAACTAACAGGTCATATGTTTTACTCTGGTAAAGTCCTGAATCAGTCAGGGTTTTTTTTGTGCTGTGCCACCAAGAGGATCCTGTAGCTGTGGTCTCTGGCACTTTAGCCCTGGCTTACCTCAGTAACCTCACAGATACCATTTTGCATAAGAATATACATTGATGATAGATGATAAAATTAAATAAAATACATTACAGTCACCATAAATTTTCTTAAGGTATAATCAGTTCAAAAACTAGTAGGATCCACTATTGTGCTCCTTTACTGGAGAAATCAAATTAAAATTGGAAGTTCTACCCAAACAGGGATCAGTGTAACAGTCCTAAAATTGTTTTAACTACTTGCATACCACAAAACATACATATTTACTGTCTTGGCAGATATGTGCTGGATTCATTATCTTTGGCATGTATACTACCTGATGCATACCTGATTCATGTATTAAGCTGCTCTTCAAATATAGCAGAGAGTTTAAAGTGAGAACAAAAAATCCTTCTCATTGTCACAGAAAGTGACCATTAAGTGATGACTCACATGCAACACATTAAACATGAAGAGATCTTCAATCACTGTCTTTTATGCACTAGTATTTTTATCTTCTTAGTTCAAACTAGTGCACAAAATTATTTCAGAAGTTACTGAGCCTATAAACACATCACACCTTTAGCATAGCAATATGGTTGCTTCATCTCAATAATGGTACACTGTTTTAATCAACAGTTTTTCAAAAAGCATGAGATACATGTGACAAAAAATAAATTATTAGTTTGTGATGTTGATGACAATGACTACATTAAAAGTGTAACTCTCCAAGTTTTTTATAAAAGACTCATAGTGTTTTATCTCTTTGGGTTTTTTTTAAGATTGTTTGTTCCTCACATTCACTATATTTACAGCAGGGGCTTACAACAGCAAACAGTGTCTTCAGGTCCTTTAATGATTATCAGCTAAACTTTGGGCCTCGGTTGACTGGACATTTTTGCTCAAGTATCCTGACTTACACAAATCCAAACCTTTCAATTCGTTCGTCGGTCATCAAAAGTAAGTCCCTTAAACTTCCAGGTTAAGTAACATAATTTTTTTTTTTATGAATACAATGTATTTTTTAAAAATCTTCAGGATACTGATGCAAAGTTTAACGCTATTCTTTAGGAAATGTTAAATTTGGATAGCCATTTTAACGGTCTATTCAAAGGAGTCAGCAGTTTAGACTTATTTGTGACAAGATCCAGTAATTTTCATTTCTTGGTTTAAAAAAATAAAAATATCCCAACATTACATATTATAATGTTAATGAACAGGATTTATGTCTCACATTTTCCCTTGAAAACTTTCAGTTGAGAACACAAACATGAAGGTTCTTGATGTGAGCACAGTTCCTGCCTAAATACATTTTGTTCAAGTTGTTTACTGTGAAGAGCAAGTAAGATGAAGTGTTTCAATAGTCGCTTCAGGCTGATCTAGTTGGCATTCACAAGGTGAAGCAAGCTATGTATTGCTTTATTTTTTGCTTCCTGGTTCTTTAAGCAGACAGAAATGATCTGATTTCATTCATAATTGGAAAGTGCCATGGTACTTCCCCTCAAAATACTAAAATGTAGAAATTTAAACCTAAGAGAGGTATATGACATATCTGATATTTGAAGGCTTATCAATAGCTGGGATAAAGAATTCCCTAGGCTGCTGTCATTCTGTGTTTCAACTTGGTTGGCAAAATGATAAATCACTTCATGTAAAATCTATTAAACTAATCGTCAAACTACAATATAAAAAGTGGGAGCTTTGGGGAAAAAAAAAAAAAAAAAAAAAAAAAAAGGAGAGAGCTGACATCAGAGGCAGGATTAGATCCTGCATGATTTCAAGTACAAATAGATCCCTCTGGGACTTTGGGGATTAATATTTTTTCTCCTCAGCCACTGTGAAGAATTAATGAGGGTACCTGCAACAATGCTTGCAAGCTGCTGAGTTCTGGTGATGGGGTATATGCTGCGTGCCTGAACGATGGCTGAAGCGATTTTCTTGGCGTGCCTCTCCTCCCCGTATGTTCTCAGGATGGACGCAAGCGCCTGTTGATCTAAAGCATTCACAACATCAGCAGCAGTGGGCATGTCAGGGTACCTACGCACAAGAAGAGCCAATTAGTTCACTGACGTCAGTTTTCATTGACAAGAGGTGAAGCTTCATAGCATTGAGACATAAAGTCAAACTCACACACTGCATACAAGTGCCTTTGAGGTTTTCGAATAAGAGACAGCAACCCTATGAAAACAGATATAGCTTGTACCTTTTAAATCCTTTTTCTTGCTACTTTAAATGGAGTTTGCTCCTTAACATCAACTAGGACAGCTGAAACTTCCAAGTATTATGATAAACTATGCTTAATGAGTTGACAAGTATAAATACATTTCAGTATCATGTTAAAATGGAAATACTGTGTGATTTTTTATTTAGCCAGCTTTAGAATATAAACTTGCCCCCTACGGGTTCATTTTAGTCACCTTGCATTATATGTTGTTTTCTAGTCAGAACTGATTTCAAGGATCTTTTCTTTCACATCCCCTGCTATGAAAACAATTGCTCATGAAAACAATTTAACTTTGCTTTTCACTAAAAGGCATAAGAATTTATATCCAAATACTGTTTTGAGAGAATAGAAATGAGCTAATATTACAAATGACAGGAATTATTACAATATAAACAGTATAAGCCATACTTTTTTTTTTTTTTAAAAATCTGTCGCTTTGTTATTGAAACAGTTCAAGGTATTTTATGAACATCATACATGGGTTTACTAATCGGAGAAAACACACAACCTACTTAATAAATTCTCTTCTACAAAGACATGAATGTGCAGAATATTTTTCAGGCATTTACTACTCTCCTGCAGTATCTTACAAAAGATAACAAAACTTAGAAATCAGAGGCAAGTAGTATCATAGCAACAACCATAGTGTAAGGCTTTTGTTATGCCACAGGTATCCTTTGTTCTTAGTCTCCTGTTTCATGTATGTATTCACATGATGCAAATATAAGCCTAGAGTTCAGATTCTTGAAATCTGAGGGCTGAATCCCAGGAGGATCATGTGAGCTTTTTACACAAAACTGGAAAAAGTGAGTATCATGAAATTTGCTGTGTTAAGACTTAACATTAATGTGTTAAGATAATTCTTTAGAAACTGAGGCTTCCCATTGGCTCTATGTGAGCAATGAAAGATCGAATGACATTTCTTAAGAGTACAGGTTATCAAAACAAAAAGCAAATATTTTCATTCTCCCAGTAATGCATTATGCAATTACTGCCATCATCTATACAACAGAGATCTTTGGTTGTTCATGTAAAAAGCACAATGCTACAGAAATATATTAAGTTGTTTGAAGATGAAAACTGCTACATAAGTAGAAATTATCATTCCGCAATTGATTTTCATGCTCTTGAATGTACGAAACACCAATTCTAATAATTTAAACAGAGGCGATTTATTTAGTAATTGTTAATTTGACAATTAAGTAAGCCTGATGTGCCTCCTACACAACGTGAAAAGGAGCTTATAATACTGCTAAGGAAAGCTTACAATAAATCTACGGGCACGGAAGACAACATTACACTAGTGTGTTAAAAGCAATGTTACTATATGATTTCAAGTGGCGGATATCATGGATGGGATTTTATTTATTTTATATTACGTTCCTTTTAGAGACAAGTAACTGGGTCAGATGGCCGTTGCAGAAAAGAGGGAGGTTGCTCCTTTCCTGTGGGAGCAACTGAACATGCTCAAGTGAAGGTTCCACAAATAGTAATTGTGGCAGAAAAGGAAAGGGACTGCAGTAAGGGGTTGTGAGCCTGCAGATCAAGTTCAGTCTGAGAAACTGCAGAAATAACAGGGAGAAAACAGGCTTCTGAAACTGAGATGCCCCTGTAACTGTATACCATACACTCAAAAAATGGATGGTATTTTAATGGTATAGTTAAAAAAAAATGATACTGGTTTAACTACTGGAACCTTCCTCTTATTTCAAAGAAGGAAAAGATGATAACCAGGGTTTTAAGTATTGAGATAAAAAAAAGCTTTGTAACAAAAGAAGGACAGTATACTCGCGCAAAATTAGATGTGGTTTAATGATAAGAATTCTTCCATTTAAGGGGAAATGAAATGCACGGGGGTTGCTGAGCACACAGTTTTTGAGTTTCAAGGAGAAATATTTTATTAACAGGTACCTGTCACTATCCATCCTCATGTCCAAAGGTCCGTCCTTCTGCAGGGAAAAACCTCTTTCAGGTGTACCAAATTGCATAGAAGAACAGCCAGCATCCAAGAGAACTCCATCTAGAGTCCCTGGCTCAACTCCAGAGGAGATTAACAAAGCTTCTGACTGGCTGAACTGTCCTAGAAGAGCTCGAATCTGTTTCCTGTAAGAAAATAACAAATAAATAGCCTCAATTTTAATTATAACAGTGCAGTGTCTTCCCCTTGTATAGCAGAAATTAGATAGTAGCACTCACCTGTCTCAGAAGCAACAGGGCTATTCCCAAAGTAATAGTTTAAGTACTTTTCATATGTCAACATTGAAAACTGGTCCAACCCACCCATCAGTAGCTACTTAAGCTTCTTTAACTCTTTACTCCCTTCCTGCTTGATCTCAAATAAAAGGAAACCTGACTAAAATTTCATTTTTTCAACATGCAGGAACTCAAAGGGACACCTTTCACATTAAACCACCAAGGTACCTGCTGTGCTGAGCAGGGCCCTTAGCCAAGTGAGACCAAAGTGCGGAAAAGAATGAACCGTTCTTGGACCTAGAGGAGAAGCAGACAAGATGGAACATGACTGCACAGCCTTGTGGTTAATACTTACCTGCCAGGAAAAAAATCCTGGATCCTGCCATGGGACAAACACCTTTCTTTCTAGCAGTATTTGCTGTTTCAAAAATAATTGGGCAAATGAGGCGCACTGGATCATAAGCAGATAAAACACTTCAGTGTAGTTTCGATTCAGGCACTTAATCATTGGGGAGAGTAGAGTTTTACGTGCATTTTTGTGCTTAGCATTCTTCTTTCTTAGATTTAAGGTGGTTCTTGCTTAATATTCCCATACTGGGAAGGGAAAGTGGCAAGGCAAGGGAGAAGATGACACATCTCTGAGGTGCCCAACTCTTTCTTGGGTGTCTAAACCTGGACTTCTGATTCTTGCTTATATATGTGACCTACAATTAAATAATTTATCTATCTGTCAAAATCTCAATGAATTTCACAAAAATTTAAAAAGACCAACCAACGTGCTGCTGCATTTTTAAGCAGTACCTGCAGAACACAATATATTTCTGCCCCTAACAAGTAGCCACTGCCTCCACATCTGAGTTTTGATTACGTTTGGATAACTGCTCCTCAGCACCATGGATTAGCATTCAAATTATTACAAAGCCCACTAGGTTAACTCGTATTATTGTGTCTAAGTTACATGGGCAGCAGTGAATGGATGGAGAGAGCAACACCTTTAACTGTTTCAGCTACAAAAGGACAGCTGCCCATATTTTGATGTATCTTTTGACACTTCAGCATTATAGTAATTCTGGAAAAAAAAAAACAAACACAAACTTTTTTCAAAAGGGTTTTTTTTTAATCAGCTTAAGTCTAACCCTTCTTTCAGGTCAGTTTAACATCAAGACAACTGGCACTACGACATAATTTAGTCAACTCCAGTGGCTACAGTTTTTAAATAGTGCACGAACAGAGAATCAGAACCTTTTATGCACCCATCCAATTGGAGTGAGAAAATGCTACCAAGGAGAGGAAAAAAAAAAGAGAGAGAACAAGCTCTGTTAAAAGGAAGACGTTACGAATGCAGCCATATGGAAGAACATTTAGCTACACAATGGTATCCTCATTAGAGCAGAATGAATCAACCTATTTAATATAGCACAAAAACCGGGAAATACCTTGAATGAACAGATTTCACGAGGGATATCATGATCACAGATACGCATTTCTGAATTGATTACTGTCCAGCACATAATTAAGTACAACTATTCAGCTTAATAAGAACTGACAGTTCTTAAAAAGCACAATGATCCACTTAACATATTTAAACCAATTTAAGCTATGTAGTTATAGCTTTGAGATTATATTTCCCCTCAATATAATGAGAGGAATTTTCTTGAAAATCTGTACCACTTTGTCCAGCTGGGCAGTGCTTCTAACTTTACAACTTGTGCAAATGAATGAACTTTAAAATTCTGTATCTGGGAGATGAAAATAAGTGAGATCTGGAAAAAATTATAAATTGCCATTGTCTAGTTCCTCCAGCAGACAGTAATCCATGCTATGAACTAGTGCTGTACTGTGCTACCAACCAATCTGAAAAAGTATTTTGAACTATATTTATAACTTGCTAGAAATTTGATTACGTTTCTTTAAACAAGTCACAAGTATGTGGATGGCTAGGATGTTTGGGACAGCGGCCTTTGACTTGTCGTCTGCCAAACCTTTGCAATTAGGAAGAGATAATTAAAAAAGAAGTATATTTGAAGTAAGTTGAAATTTACTCTTTGGTAGTGAGATGCTTCAGCTGGAAAATGTTTTGGAGTTTGCAAATAAAAAAAGATTGAAAAAGAATTAGATTGACATTTTGATGTCAGACTTTCAGCTGCATGAAATTATAGCCTCTGTATATAACCTGTTTGTTATACACTGCATTTTGTGTATCAATATTGGATATAGGTGTCTCGATGAATATAAATCTTCACTAAAAATAGATGCATTTCATGACATTATAATGACTATATTAAAATGTTCAGGCCATTTCTCTGAATTCCTGTTTCTTTGTGGACTAGAAGAAACAATTTTAAGCATCTTGGGTATCTCATATATTTCAATTAATCAAACCAAATATACAGCTATGAAACATTTATTACCTTATGAAAGAAAATACAAATATCAACTCTTTTTTCAATAGGATAGTAACAATGATGATAGTGATGACAAGGACTAATCTATTAGATTATAAGCATGACACATTTATTTAAAGAAAAATATTGTACCAAGCATTCAGAAGCATTTCTTAGAACATAATATAACTCTTCACTTGTCTACTATACTTTACGCCTATGTTGAAATAATAACTGCCTGTTACACACGATTTTCACTAAAAATGCTTAATTTAGCCTCAATTCCTTCTGCCTTCAGATTTTTATTTACATCATCTGTAAATCCTGTTTCCAGAATAACCTCAAATAAATAATAAAAGCTGTGTACCCTACGCTAAAAATGTTTATTTCCTACAGTCACATGCCTTCTGCTCTCCCCAGGCATGCAGAAATTCTTTCTGCTTTCTTTTTCAGTGTTCCAATGTTTTCTTTGGGCATTACAAGTTTTATGTTCCATGACCATACTTATCTAGCGTGAAAATCTGTCTATTACCCTTTCGTCTTAATATATGGCAAAAACAGTGCTTAGTGGAAAAAGCAGGAAAGGTAAACCAGGGAACGTCCCTAAATACCAAATAAAAGAGCCAAGCTTATAGTTCAAAACAGCCTGAGAAGAGAGAGCATATCAAAACATTACAGACCAACATTAAATGGGGGTTTTAGGCAGGTCTTGGGAATACCATCAAAAGCTGTTAAGACTACAAAGGGTCACATAAAGAGCATTTTAATCACTTTAGGTGATCTCTGAAGGTTACAATCTAACTAAATTGTCTTGCTTAAGAGAAAATATTTAAACTTAGTACTTGAACAGCACTTTACATATTCAGAATATTTTAGAAACATAAAACCACTATGAAGAGCTTTTAGCCTCTCTTATAAATGAAGATGTAAGATTTGCAGGGTTTAATACTGAATGACTTGAAGATACCTATGTAGAAAGCTAAGACAATTTCAGAGATTATGGTCTGAGGATGTAAAAAAGCAGACAATACCTGTCATATGTTTAGCTCTCATTTGGCTTGTGTGTGTGTGTGTGCGCGGTAACAGCATAGTCATTTTCGATAAATTCCCAACTGCTACAGTGAAGCAACCTCTAACTTCTCAAAATATTAAACATGCTTACTCCCTCTTTATTAATTTTTACATTCTCCAAGAAAAAAGTATTCAAGATTTTAAAAGAACACTGGGAACACAGAGAATCTAGCCAATTTTAAAAATAACAAAAAGTTATTTCAGTTGCTACATATGTTGTTGAGGCCTCAATAGATTTTATTGTGCAACAACCTCAAGAGCTTACAGAATTGTTGTACTGCTTGCTACAGTTGGAAAATAACACAGAACCTTGGGTTCAGGACCCTTTGTTCAGGTCATAACACAGTATTTTATTATATTATACTATGACACATAGCATAGTAATTCTCATAGACTGCATTGGATCCACACTTCTTAATTAGCAGAATGAGAAAGTTCAAAGTCTCCTAATGTATTTCAGGCTCTTCTACTTTCAGTTAATCTCTGGTACTCAACAACGCTTTATAAAAATATTTCTTTTTTATTTTACTCAGCTGAGAGGGATGTACACAGGAAAAAAGTAAAGCATGAATGTAGCTTCTACCAAAAAAAAAAAAAAAAAATCTTTTCCCTTATCTAGTTTCTCTCTGTTGTCACAGAGGTTGCTGTAACATCAATCATTCAAGTAATTTCACAGGAAAGTACGATTACGCTTTCATTGTGCTTCAGCTTTTTTCATGTGTATATAACAATACTTACTCTTGATATTTCACCATTGCTCCCCTTACAAATTCTATGTATGAATACATAGAAAGTCGGGAAGTGATGATCCCTTGTCAACAGTGAAAACTACCTTCTACTCAACCAGAATAAATGGTTTCTTTGAGAGAACTGGAAAAAAAAAGTTTTTCAGCTAACTCTTGCCAATGCACATCAAACGAGGAGACCAACTGGAGCTTTGTTTGATTCAGTAACTCCACTGAGACTGCCAACAGGGGTGCCAATTAGCACCAACTGTAATGAGGATATTGGTACAGACCTGGTTTGATGTCATTGACTCACTTCACCGAGATCACTCAGCAGCTGTCAGATAGCTGTGACTCTCACTCACGGCTGTGCTGGGCCAGGCACACCTACAAGCAAACCACAAAGTACTCCAGTCATAAATTCCTGGAACTTTCACCATCCTACCTATGAGCATTACTCTGCCTCAGTGCAACACCCCTCTCAAAAAATGTATCTGAATATTCTGTAAAAAATTTTAAATGACCTTGTGGTGGTGCATTTCCCCCCTTCCCCTGGGCCACTCTATGATCTCAGGAACTCCTGTTAAGCCTTTATCAACTGTGTAACGAGTTGCGCCGGTGGGCCGCCCCTTACCTGTACCAGGCACTCTTGAATGGCTAAGGGGGGGAGCAACACTGATCGTACCAGGAACACCAGCTACCTGATCAAGGTAGGGAACAAGAGCAAGGG